GATTTAGTACTGTAAATAAGAATTTACTACCTTTTAAAAGTGTTTTTGAAAAAATTTCAAGGAACACTTGATACAGGTCTTGGTGCAACGAAGATCAACACTTATTTATTAGTCTTAAAGTGTCACATTTATAATGCTAAATCCTTTGAATGTAGTGAAAGATACGTAGGTAAAAAAATTAAATAAAGATTAAGTTAAAAAATAATGCCAAATTACAACACTAATTGGTAATGATGACTAATTTGCCATTGCGGCTTTGAGGCGGCTGTCACCTTACACTTTAACAAAATAGTCTGATTTAAACTACGTTGCAAAGACCTTTAACTTTAAATTGTATGAAATGGAATTGAATGCTTTTCTCAGAGGACATTTCACTAAACTTATAATATATCAATTAAATTAAATAAAGGAAGCAAGTTAGAAGTAAAAGTGGCTTCAAAAGATATTATTTAAATGTGATATTTAATAAATGTTTCTAACAAATTTAACTATACTCGATGAACTAGTGTTAACTATCTTAGTTATTTTATTTTCAGTTTCTATTTATTATTTAACAACGACTAGTATACAAAACGTACCGTTACCCGCGTTTACTTATATAGTCTATTTCAATCGTTTAAATAGCGCACCATCTTATCAGAAGTATTGTTGCAATTTTTCTTGCACATGCACACTTACAGCACCTGATAAAATAATATTCACGTTCGACGCTTCCCTAGCTATTTTTTCAAAATTTGATGTGTTGACCCTATATTTTTTTTTAATAAAAGATGCTTTATAAATAAAACTATATGTACTGTTACGGGGTGGTACGATGTGGATTTGCGAGGTGGATTAATTAACCTTGACCAGGCCTGTGTTGCCTGGATACCCGTGGCATCGCTCCCTGCAATATGTATGCGCGGGCCTCGTCCGTCGAGACACGGCTGGGGCCAAGAATCGCGGCTACAGGCGTCGTCGCTTCTTGCGACGACTTTATCATAACACAAGGGGGGAGTCAGGCACATAACAAATAAACACTCACAAGAAATTCTAGTATAGGGAGTATATTCAATATAAATAAAAAATGCTAAAGTATACTCGCAGGTGACGGTGAGTGTAAGTGTGTGTGATTACACGTCGAGCGCGAGTGCTCGACATGCTCGCGGCGCAAAATCGCGGCATGGGCAGACTCACGCGGGCTAATCGAGGGTCACTGCCCTTTACAACGTACGGTCAACTGCGGACCGGTACTCACGATTGCAAGTAGTGGCAACACTCTTCATCCTTGGAGAACTGTGGCGTACTCACTGAGGCCAGTAGGCGTTCCTACTGGCAGTGCTAATAAGTCATCGACCTCAGCGTCGACCCTGACTTTTCCTAGCTGAGGAAGTCTTCCACCTCTTACGGAAATCGTGGCCACCTTATTTCACAGCAGCAACAATCACGGCACTTTGATTAACCTGATCGTTGTAGCAATAAAACCATCACAGCAGCAACGGAATCACAGCAACAAACAAGAAAATTGGTAAAAGCTCCAAACAACGCTTCTCGCTTAAAAATTAATAAATAGCTTACTGTTCACATTTCTGCAAGTCACTATCCAAGTTACTAATCTAACATTAAGGATGTTTGGGAAAAAAGTTAAAAATGTAGAAACGCGCCAAAAAAAATGTGTGTTACATTTAAGCATATAAGGAGTGCACATGAATTTTTCAGATCTTTCACCAGAGAAAATTTTCGAGAAAAAAATTATGAAATATCAACAGTTTAACATGGTCTCTTATAAGGGAGCAAGGTTAGGTTTGACTTTTAATTGAAATTAAGGTATATTCTAAATAGATCTGAAAAAAAATACGTTTTCATAGATACCTTGGTACAAAAGAAAGTTGCACGAAAAAAAAATCAAGCTTTGCCAGGCATTTTTCAAAAATACAAGCAGTTACAGTCGTACAGTTTCAAATTTGTAGAGTGCAAGAGGAGGAGCGCGGTAAAGGGGACACAGGTGCGCGGGCAGGGGGCACTACCCGTTCCTTGCCTCTCTGAATGATACTTCCAAACGTCCTTAAACGAAGATAGAATGTGCTTTGTACCGTTATGGGGTAGAATTACAGGCTTTTAAATGCCATTAAATGCCAAAATCTAATTGCGTTAATTTTTGAGAGCATTTTCCGTTAAAATTTAAAATTTATAAGATTTCGATCTCGTAACTTAAACACATTCCAAGTCTTCAATACAATTCTTGTTACTTCTGTAAAATGCATAAAAATGTTGTTGACGTTAATGAGTCTTAGATTCCATACCACAGAGAGATTAAAATCTTTAATTTTGGTCGAAATAAATAAATCTAATACTTTGGTTTTAGACGTCGTAAAAACTGTAAATTTTCAAAATACAGGTCCGTAACGCTCATTTAGTTCCCTTTTTATATCTAAAACTTAAGGAATGCTTGTTAATGATCTAAATTCTGTTTTACGTTTGACAGTAAACACCTCTTGAATAATTAAATAAAGTTTTTTTTCATCAAATTCAGGAGCAAAGATTAAAAATTTTCTTTACTTGTGTCACTCTTTTTTCAGTCCAGGCACTACAAATAAAAGTAAAAATTCACGGTTACGTTTTGTCAAGAAAGACAATTTTGGAACCAGTAATTTACTTCTATTCATAGTACCCTTGTTGGAGTAAAATTAAAAAAATTATTTTAACTGGTGATAATTTGTGGTCTCTAAAAATTTCGAAAACAGAAAAGCCCTTTTTTATATCTCTGTGGGACTCAGTCTTAGAGAACCAGATCAATTTGTGTACCACTTACGGACATTTAAACTTTTATTTGTGCAGCTTTGATGTTACTGAGCATACAATGTACTGTAGCCACGATTATTACAGTGTCTGTATTGCTCTTATTTTTTTGTGGTTCAATAAATCACTACATGGTTTAATAAATGCCTGCAGTACTATTTTAAAGAGCACAGGGCAGATATAAATAAAATAATAATTAATACGTGGTAGTATTCATTAAGTCATTGAATCATATTTTCAGAATACGAGTTTAATAGAACGTCAATAAATTTTAGATGCGTACTAGAGAGCTGTTCCTTACAAAACGTAAAATTTTTACTTTTACTTTGATTTGCATACACTGGATGACAGAAAATAGTCTAAAGACAATATTATTCAAAATCTCATCCAGTGTATACAATCTCGTTAGATTAATCTAAGAACAATGTGCAGAAAAAATTGACCCGATCAATATTTGTACGAAATTATATTTCTTTATCATGTCATAAGAGTTGTAGCTAGATTTATCGATAGGCTTTAATCCACATCGCTTGTGAGAGTACAAATAATGTACAATAATATAAAATTATTTTTATAAAAGGTATAGCCGATAAAAATTTGAATGCTCGTACCAGTCGTAAAGAAAAATAATATGTATTAGGGCCTTCTATGAGGTAATAAAATAAGAATGCAGAACAACACTTTCTCCAGTGGCCAAACTACTTACCTAACTCGAGCCACGGCCGCAGATTCGAGTATTCGCTGCAAGAATGACCGCAGCGCTCACTTCTTACTCTTTTGTACGTTAGTGAAAAAAAAAAAAGTTTACGAAGGAATCATACTATTCATAATAATCTAATAACAAAATAGTTCAGTAATTTTGAACATCATTACACTGTTTAAATCTGTGAGTATGAGTTCAATAACTTATAAAACCATTCTTTTGGATTCCGATTTTAAGATCTGAACACAAGTATTTCAGAACTCTGATTGACCAATAACCACACACTTTCATCTGCCATGCAAATACGATGCACGTAGAGCAGACGAGATCACTGCTTTGGTACTTCCAACGACTATTAATTAATAATTACTGACAAAATTTCATGATATGACCAATTTGTATAGATAAATCTTGACTCCCATAATAACAATGACAACATGTTCTCCTCTACACTTTCTGTTTTTCAAAATATTTAATAAAAACAACACATGATATCGACTTTGGTTCAGTAGAGTACCTGTAGATCACGCACATTTGCCACTATGAGCGCTGGCATAGATTCTTTTATCCCTTCTAACTTCATTTTCGGAGCGAATAAAAGTGCCAGCAGCGACTCGAACTGGTCACTTTGCTTTTACCTTTCGCAGTGAGTCTGATCCTTTGCTTATGAACTCATCTCTGTAAGACATTATTAATACTGAATAAATGATGGTGTGTGCACGCGTGTGCGTTTGTAAAGAGGTACTGGGGTAAGGAGCCAATCCCTGGGGTATTGTGAACCGAAGTGAATCCTCACCCTACTTAGTTAATTGGTGGATTGGAAGATATCCTTGTAAAGGTGTCTCCGTACTAATCTTTTATAGGTATAAAATATCACGTCTCAAGACTCTTTATACGTACAAAATAATAATTAAATTTTCGACCCTCCCACACTTGCTAAATTTGTTCGTAAAAATTCTCATAACTTTTTTTAATTTCATAATTTAGAATCACTTACTATCCACGGCAAGTCAACTATTCGTTCGAAGTATACTTTTAAACACAGTTTACTTAAGTAACAAAAGACCCACATAGCTTCTTCAAGATAAAAAATAAAGTTATCTCACATTACTGACACAACTTGACGATAAGGAAATAGAAAGAAAACATAGTATAAAAATCAGAAAAAATCCTAGACGAAAAGTAGACTAAATAGATAAAATGTTTAATTAATTTTCAAACAGGAAACAAAAAACGTTGATAGCTGTAAGGTGAAGACTAAATTCAATTAAATGTACAAGAATTCTCCGTTTGTCTGTAGTAACACAATAAACATAGATTTGCACATACAATAAGCCTATCAACAATATAGAAAACAGTTTTAAAAAGTGAAAGGAGTAACAACAAATGTAATTGCAAGGAAAACAAGAATAAATAATATAACAACACTAACAACAGTCATAGTCATTCAAAATAACAGAAAAAAGAGATAAATAGTCTAATAATGACAATAACTCTGAGAAAGAACAGAAAAACAGACCACGAACGTGATAGCGTAGCTGTTGAGGGCTCGTGTACTGATGCTTATTCTGGTGATCGTGGTAGCTGGCACTAGACGATAGCTCACTCATTAGCATAGAACTGTTGGAGTCTGCCAGCTGCTCGAGCACATCTCCGGGCTGGCGCAACCCGCAGCAGAAATCTGCATCTGTAACACACAGCCAACCCGCACACATGGTGGCCTTTTCTCTGGATATCTATCTTTTTTATATGTTAAAATCTATGTTTTTATCAGTGCTTTAATTTTTTGTTTTATTTTTGTTTACCTAGATAAGTATTATCCTAAAAGTGCACAATGACGGTATGTTACGTGTTGAGTAAGTAGAATAAACTATTATTGTTGCTGACGGTGTTAAAGAATTATGTGATTACTATTAAGTTTGAAAGTTGTTGGGTAATTTCTATTTCTGTTACTTTAAAAATGATTTATATGATTTTGCGTGAACGTTATTTTCAGTGACAAGTTTGTTGCACACTTATGCATAATAATAAACATTTTAGATTAAAAACATATTAATTTGGGTGTCATAAAACCAAAGAACACAATTTCAAACAAACAAATTTTCTGTTATTCTCAATAAAAAAAGATAAAAAAAACCATTTTCATAACATGGTATTTTTTAGGCTTAGAAAGTAAATGACATTATTTAGTATGTCTTATATTTAGAGTATATCCATTAAAGTACTAAGCATATAATTCTTAGAAGTAATTTATGCTGTAACAAAATTTTTCATATCATAGAATGGATTATTTATATACCAGTTCAAGTTATATTTATTTAAATAAGCATGTACTCAAAATTAATTTAATACTATAAACACGAATAAGACATTGTAATATTTACTTATCTAAGGAAAAAAAAATAAGAAAATAAAAAAGACGAAATCGCTGATTAAAAATATGATCCATTATCATTCATGATTTATGACTTATGGAGACTTTTCAAGTGTAATACCAAGTCTGTTATAAATTATGGAAGCAATGGTGAAAAGTTTCAGTAGCTAGTGGCTCTATTTTTCTGACGGATGCAATACACAAAATAATGTTAAAATATAAGTTAAAAGGTACATGCAGATTAGAATGTCAAATTATTAAAAGCTATTACTATTGGTAATAACTATTGTATTGTTTTACAATGTTTTCAAGAGTAACATATGCGACACAAATTTGAAAAAGTTACTTAAATTTGTTGACTATAGCTACTGTCCTTCGAATTTCGTTATCAAATGTCAAAAACTATAAAATATGATTTTGAACAACAAGTGGCTCAGCCAGTCTCTTTTCAATCCTAAGTGAAAGTCAATAGTTTTAAATTTTCTTTAAACTAAAGAATAGTTTTTAAATTCAACTTTATTTATGAATTAAAACTTTGTCCAAGTATTATTTAAAACGGAAAAGAAATTTTAAGATCCTAGAACTACTACTTATAGCATTAGATATTATAAACATTTATCGAAATCATTCATTTTGTTTAATAAAAATTTTTGTTTCGATGATTTTCATTGAAAAAGATTATCATTAAGAGGTTAGCAAGTCATAAGAATTGAAGGGTAAAGCCTAACTCAAGATGTGTTTCCTCTGTTACATATCGATTTTGGTATGTCATGTAACAGATGCTCCAATTTCCTGCAGCCTTTTACATAATGAGAAACGATATGTTAAATTACTACTTCATATTTTATAAAAAACATTTTCTGCTGTCTTCACTATTCTACTCCCGTTCCATCAAAAACACATTTTACTTTTTTTTCAAAAGCATCTTTCACTTTTTATACCAGACTCAAGCTCATGAGCTATTATTCCTTGAAAGCCTACTCTGAAGATAATATTACGTCGACAATTTTTTAATATAATCTCTTAAGAAGACAAAAACTACTTTAGGATTAAAATGTTTTAATTTTACATAACGCAAATGATGTAAAATTAGATCGAAGCGCACTTGAATTTTCTCCAACAAAAATTTCTCTATTTTAACCGTCGCTGACATATTGTTTTTCTTCATACCAGGTCCTTACATACAGATGAAATACAATGCTGTATGCAATGGCTTTCTAACAAGCTTTGCTCATTCACTCGCATTATGATGAATAAGTCAATCCCTACAGCCATCAACACTAAAAGTACCGATGACATGCACAAATATGCTCATACACTTATGTATATGTATACACGCAAGTGGGGCTCCACTTTCTGCGCGCTTCTTGTGCCAACCCCTTAATTATTTGTTATTTCATGTGTTTTTGGGTTTAGAGGAATATATTTAAATAGAAAATATGTATGTGAAATATCAGAAAGTACTGACGTAAAATGTACAATAAAAAGAAACTGTTTGCATATGTATTTCATTTTTATAACTTTTTAAGATCCTGATATTTCTCTTATAATAGTTTCAGGAGCACACTTCAGTCCCACTCGTTTGTAAATGTCATGATGTACTGTTCAAAAATGCATTGCCATTTGACATTCTTTCATACTTCCAATAGTGGTATGCTTCGTTTGGAGAACTCTCTCCCTTTCAACAAATTTACTACTCGATGGAAATTAGAAAACCGTTATCAAATAAACTTACTTTTTCCAGTTTCATGTGTATTTTTTAAATTTTATAACCTACAAAAGAAAAGAATTTTTTAACTTGATAATACTTTACTTAAAATTTAAATGGTCACAAAACTTTCTTATAAAGACGTGTACATCTGATAGAATAATGAATACTTATTAAATAACTTGACTGGCTCTGTAAGTTGACTCATTATAACAAACTGCTATAAGGGTGATACTTCCACGGTTCATATAAGAACAAAGCTAAGTTTTGTTTGAGCTTATACATATTTTTTCGATTACCAGTAATAATTAAAGCACATTACTTTACAAAACGAAACCAAATCTTATCAGCAGACATGACCAGAAGTAATCAGCTCTAGGTTACAATCACTCAAATACTTTTTTTTTTTATCAACAACACCTAGCAACGCATATCATCATTTTTGACCGGCAACTCATACGTTCCACGATTTTTTAACAGTGTCACGAATATTATTCTCTCGTCTTTCAGATTGTCGTCCTGATAATTACAAAACTAAACATCACATAGCACACCAAAATATCACCAATATCTTCTTCTGTTATAGCTAGAGGATATCAATACAGCTTCAGAATATCGAATGACTCTACTTAACCCTTTTTCCAACTTACCAAGTACATTGCTTCCAACTGTGAATTCAACTACATCCATATCTTCTTTTTACAGCTGCAGGACTTCACGTCCCTACTTCGATTCCACTGCCAAGTTACCGAGTATCTTCAAACGTATTGTATTTGTTTCATTCTGCTACGCCTTATTTTTTAGGGTAATGTGAGAGGTAAATACACGCTTTCATCTTTCTGTTATTCAAGTCTGAATGTAAAGGAGCTGGCTTTCTTACTGTTAAACGTACTCCTGAAAATTAAACAAATTTAGTTTTCCTGCCAATTGAACGCATGTAGTTAAAGACAATTGTTCTTTACATGAGCTTTCTTTCCGTAAATCCAGCACTATACATTGGTGTTATTCAGGGACTTCAATTTCTGACTCATTCCCGGATTAAAACTTGATTGCACTGTTCTATATATTCCTGCATCAACATTAGTCCCTTCAAGTTTTCCTTGAAAATTGCCTTAACTTCAATTTCCCGTTGAACAGAAACTGTCGAAAATTCAATTCCTTCTAACTAAAGCATTTCTCTGAAGAAATTATCAGTAATCCCAATAATAAGCTGTAAAGAAGCAATTTAATCTTGAGAAGTAAACGAACACTCAGCTTAAGTTACTGAAACTAGCTCTTGTAAATCAGCAGCTGAACTTGAAAAATTTTCAGAGAGCTTCTGTTTCCTATTCTGTAGTTGAGAATAACACGTCATTGCCAAATGTTTTTCCCCAAAGCTAACCTCAAGTTTTGAAGTCAAACCTAATAGTCCCTCTAACTCTGAAAAATTATCTTGCACCAATCTCACCTTTTCACATCAACAAGAAATTTGAGCAATCATTTTCCTGTTACCATCCCAACCATTTAACTTGGTGATCAGGCTAATCTGATTAGAGAAATCTCTAAACGAATAACTACCATCATAATTTTTAAACTGAAGATTATAAGCTGGGAATGAACCTGTCACTAAGCCATTTGAAAGAGATTGCCCAAAAGATGCATGTTAAGTCGGTAAAGTTTGTGTTAACTGTGACGTCTGTGGTGCTTATGACAACTATGGTGGTTGTGACGATTGTAGTGGTTGTGGCAAAACATGACATTCAGATCCCAGATGAGCCCCAAAATTGTTACCCTTACAAGTAATGATAAAAGCACATTACTTAACAAAGCGAAATCAAACTTTATTAGCAGAGATAAATAGAAGTAATCAGCTAAAGATTTCAATCTCAACTACTATTATTTTATTAACAACAACACCTAGCGACCCATAGCAATATTTTTGATCGTGCAGCAACTCATACGTTCCACTACTGTTTAACCGTGTACCCAACAATAAATATGTATGTATATTGCTAATACATATACATAAATATATACATCCCTATTTTTAAGATACTAAATAATACTCAGTTTCCAAGATAATTATTTTCATTTATTTTTCCACACCACTAAGGAGGCAAATAGATTGACCTCATACGTATTAATGAAATATGGAATTCACGTTTTATTATGTAATAATATTTACAAATCATATTAAAAATCGTAATGTATTTATCATCAAATTGTTTGAATTTACTATTAAGTGTAAAGTTCTCGGTGCATTCAACTTTATTTTGTGTTACTATTATTTTAAAGTGATGTAACATTTATAATTTATTTTATGTATATGTACATATGACATAATACAACTATGCATACAAACTAAAATGACACATGATTATAAAATTATAATAAAACCGTGCGAGTATCGGCTTAATTGGAAAGGTTAAGTGAACAACCTATTAATTTCAGCCGTATTATAACCACGAAGAGACAGAACTACCCGTACCCAATTTTTAATTACAATAATTTTTTAAAGTACACATATTTATTTTATGTACATTAATAATTAATACATTTTTTAAATAAATTAATAATTTATAAGTTGTTTATATGTATAATTTATTGTTCCAATTCAAAGAACCCT